CACTCCATTTGTCCAAACCCCCCCAGGAAGAGCTGGCAGCCCCCCAGGTCAGCTGCTTGGCAGCTCCGCACCCTGCCTGCATGTTGGGTGGTGGCTCCTGCTGCTTCAGCCCTCTCAGCCCAAAATACATCTCCCTATATTCACCCCAAATTAGGAAAGGCCAAACCCGGCACCAGTCCTCGCAATGACTGTCAGGGCAGCAACCTCAGCCCCACATATCCCTGGTCTGCTCCTCTACCTGCCAGGCATCGAGCTGTTCTGCGGGAGTCTGGCTTTTCACAGGGATAAATAAACACCCAGCTGTGAGTTCTGCTTCACCCCACAGCAGAGCAGGAACTTTTCAGAGGCATTCATGAGATGCTTAGAGTTTTTTAGCAGCTGCTGTAACCCTGCACTATCACTTCAGCTGCAGAGACATGTTCACCACACCTACATCTTTGGGGAATTTCCTTTTGTTTCACTTTCTAAAATGTCACCCTCATAACCTGTTAGGTTACAGGCCTTCGTCTCCTCACACCATCAGTCCCAAGGCCTGAAGACTGAAATTTTAAAGTCTTGCTCTGCTCATCTGGACAGGTTCTTAGGGACCTCAACACCAGGACCAGCCCTGGATTCCCAGTCCAGGTTTTGCACTACATGCCAACCTAATTCTTGGTTTCACTAGGATTTTGATGGCTTATTGGGTTGCAGCCATGGTAAGAATCAAGCTCCCTCTGGAAAGGAAGCAGCTTATCTGTGCCATGAGACCCATAGCTGCCCCAAGCTGTGGGCTAAGGAACCTGCAGCACAGCTCCAGCAACATGAGAGATAAACCCAGGTTTGAAGCATGATTTCATTTCTGGGTGCTTTTTTCCTAGCTGACTTGCAGTGTCACCATTGGCATAAACAGCCCTGACTTCTCCATCAGCTATTTCCTTCTTCACTTCCTCTTCACCAAGTGCATGTTTTTCACATTTGTATAGTACTTGCAAGCTCAGAAAATCTCATCTGACTGTGACTGAAACTCTGGCACATAGCTTGATTTTCCCCCCCCCCCTTTTGCTGAACTAATTTTTGCATGATATGCTGCCAACTTCACTTTTCCCCCCTTCCTTCTATATAAACAATATTCCTCTTCCAGATATTTCTTACACATTTGATAAAATGTGTTGCATACATAAGATGACTTTGGCTCAATTTTATGAAGATTTGGCAAAACACAATATACTAACTCAACTTTGATTCACTAAAAAAATACATGTCATTAAGAGCTGTATATACTTCTGATTTTAGCATACAGCTGTGATTGACTGTTTCAGTTGTAAGTGATGAAGACATGGCCAAATATAAATAAAAGCTGTACACCACCTTTCAAAGATGTGCCTTTTGTTTATTTTGTAGGAATGGATTAGGTTCTAAATTTTTCAGGAGGTGTTGCTTCACCAGTGGCACTTCTGCAAGTGCAGTGGTGTTAACCTTGGTTCTCTGGCCAGATTCCAGTGTAGTTAATTATATTCTGCACACTGTGAAATTCCCACATAATTTTCAATTAAGGAAGTTATTTGCCACTTCTCCCACTCTCTGAAAATTACTGGTAAGATCTGCTGCATACAAAATGGCTGCTCAGCTCCATCCCAGCAGTGACTGCATGCTAGCCAGCCCTCAGACGCAAAGATGACTTGGCTATAAAAGAAGTTTAAAACTTTATTCTAATTGAGGTCAGTGGAAACTCTCTGGTCATGTACTTCACAGGCAAAAACAGAAGGACAGAGGCTGGGAACATATGAAGACATCTAAAGACCTGGACCTCACCTTGTTAGGGCTACTTGGAGACGATTTGAACCCAAAATTAACTTGAATAACAAATTGGTTTGGCATTCAAAGCCGCTTATTTCTTGTTAAACAGAGGTGTGATGGAAGGATTATATCAAGCTGTTAAGGTCTCCCCAAGAAGACAAAACATTCAAGCTAATATTCACACCACCCTTTCAAGGATCTCCCCAGGCTGGGTGGCCTCTGGCAGTGAACTTTCCTGGCGAGCACACTGCTTGCTGGCCGAGATATCCTCAGACACAGCCAGAGATGCTTTGCCCTTGTCTTGCTATATGTACACAGTGTCCCAGCAGACTCCAGTCTTGTTTTCAAGCCCATTAGCCACCCCAGGACATTGTTGTTGCTCATGATGGTTGGGGAAGGGCAATGGGAAGGAGACTGTTTATGGGACTGTGAGCCCATGTCAATAGCTCAAATTTCATGCCAGATAGTCAACACCATGCCTTGTTCAACTGGTGAAGAGATTTTTCCAAAATGGTCAGGTCTACCATCCCACACCCCTTGGGGTCTAGCACCTTCAGCATTCACTGACAAAGCTGGGTCATGCTCACAGAGGATTCTGCCAGGATCACTGGGTGCTTCAGTCTTAACAAACTACACCAAAAAGAGAAAAGCCCTTCTATTTCAGCACTGGGAGAAGGATGCGTGCTGGAGTGCTCTTGGCCAAACCAAGGTTGACCTTGGCCACTGACTCAGAAAACACGTCTGCTCAAGGACAAGGTTGTGTCTGAAGTCACATTCCTACATCATCATATTCTCCCCAGTCTCTGTCTACAGTGGCTTCTACCTTTCTACTTCTTCCTGGCCTTAAGACACAAGCTCCCTTCCAGCCCTTCCAAGTTTGATTCAGTCCCTCACTATTAAATTAACAAATATAAAATCATAGAGTCATAGAATGGTTTGGGCTGGAAAGGACTGTAAGTCCTTTCTAAGGACTCATCTAGTTTCAACCCCTCCTACCACGGGCAGGGACACCTTCCACTAGATCAGGATGCTCAAAGCCCCATCCATCCTGGCCTTGGACACTTCCAGGGATCAGGCATCCACAATTTCTCTGGGCAACCTGTGCCTGTGCCTCACCATCCTCATTGGGAAGAATTTTTTCCTAGTATCTAATCTAACTCTACCCTCTTTCATCGCCCCTTGTCCTGTTACTACATTCCATTGTAAAAAGTCCCTCTCCAGATTTCTTGTAGGAAAATTTTCTAAGGAAACTTTTTTAAGGTTTCGCTGGAGTCTTCTCTTCTCTAGACTGGACAAGCGCAACTCTCTCAGCCGTCATAGGAGAGGTGCCCCAGCCCTCTCACCATCTTCATAGCCCTTCCCTGAACTTGTTCCTATAGCTCCATGTTCCTCTTATGTTCTGATCCCCAATGTTGGATGCAGGTGAGGTGTCACAAAAGTGGAGTAGAGTGGGAGAAGAGCTTGTGAACAGATCCCACCCCTCACTTTTGCCCAAAGGTCACACCTGGGTACTCCCTCCCACCAGGTGGAGACACCGCAGAAAAAGTGTTCTTACCTCCCTACTATTACACTCTCACTCCTGAACTCTATTTCAACATGACTCATTATTTCTAAGATGTTAAACAGGTAAATTAAATTATCTTCAGGAGGAGCTGACAAAAGCCATCGTCTTAGTGAAAAAAGAGTGGTGGAAGAGCCCAATCTGGCATTTCTTTCTACTGACAATGCCCTCACCGTCTCATTTATTAAAATGTTCTAGGGAGTAGCCCATTCCATGTCTTTGTCAACATAAGGAAGGTCTCCCAAGGCATTACGTTATATTATGAATTGCTAAAATGGAGGTTGGCTATGCCAAAAGTACTTTTCCAAATACAGTCACTGTTTTGAAGGCCAAATTGTTCAATAATGGCCTACATCTGTCAAACAGGGGCACTGCCACTGACCAAGTGATAAATTTAATCCATGAGAAAGCTCAGAGCACATAAACTATATTGTTCCCTATCCAACTAAGCTAGAGAGTAGTTAACTCACTGTGAAGCCGTTATTTTATAACATCTGAAAAAATGTTCATAATAACGATTCTGTGGAGACTGTTTTAGAAGTGGGTATAATATTGGAGCCCCTGTGGTAGTGACTCCCTGGGAACAGCCCCTTGTAAACCATTCATAAACAACATGAGAGGGAGAGCTCTGTGTGTGGTCTTGACTTGATCTTGCAACTTTGGGATCTGAACAGCTCAAGGTGTATCCATTTCATAATTGCCTTATTTGTTTTGAAATCTCTCAGCATCCTTCAGATGACCTTCATAGGAGTATGAGGCAAGAACATTAATTATTATTATACATAAATCTAATGCTTATCACAGAGAGGCCCTCAATCTCTGCTGGACGGTCTATGCATTACTGCAATAAAAACAAAGTAATACTCCCACTAATTACAAAATGAGTACTTAATCTCTCCGTCAGTAAGCCAATGTTGCCGGTGTGGCTCACAGACCTAGCCCTGGTGACTGGCAGACAATAAATTCTGCAAATGCTACGTGACAGACATCTGTTTTGAAGATCCCTCTCAGCTCCTTGTCTTCCTATGAGTTTCTCAAAATAACTTGGTAAATAACCTGCTGATGGTGCAGTGCTGGCACCGCTAAAATTGGTCCCTACTTGTCCACACAAGCCCTGGGATTCCAGGACTTCGGCAGTCAGAGCATTTTGTGGACATGCTGAGTATATGAAGTGACATACATTGCAGTTTCTTGGCTAACCTGAATTAATGGTGGCATTCAGAACACCCTAGCTTGTAATTTTGAAAAGGTGACCTCAAAGGCCGCTGGTTCAGACAGAGGAAGAGACAGTGTTCTCATTTTGTAGCGCTGTGATGCAGAAAGTCCCAGCAACAGAAAGAAGTAACAGATAGCTGTGAAGCCAGCATTTTTTAAGTTTAGTGGCAGAGGCAACCTCAGGTACCCAACTTTGCAAACTATTTCCTCTCCCCAAATCCTAAATAATATAAGAAATAGCAAAGCTTTACATCAGAAAGTGAAATACTTTGAATGAGTTTTTTATAGCTCTGAAAAAGTCAGCCTGACACTTTACAGAACAAACAAGAAGGTGGCGTCCTTGCTAGAAAGATGTAAATGTTATTTCAAAGCTTGTTTAACAAAATGCTATCAACAGGCTATGAAAAAGGGGAGAAAGAGTAACAGAGATTACCCCAAAAAATAGTACCTGGGCCTTGTTACAGCAGGATGGGATATCACAATTTCTGCTAAAAATACAGATAAAATGTCTTCACAGAGATGTGGGACTTCTTAAAGATCTGAATGAAAACACAAATAAGAATTATCTCCTCAATGGGCAGTAAATGCAATCTCATCCTGCCATGCTTATCTTTTTACTGCATAATCAATAAAATCAACTAGGAAAAAAACTGTGACAATTATGGCAATTTTTTCTTGTACAGCCAGGTTTGACATCATCTGATGGGAGGTTAATTAACAGTTAACTTGGACAGCACAATTACCTACTGAAACCACATTGTTAGACCTCTGGCTGAAACTAACTTGTAACTTGAGAAGGATTTGCTCACATCTGGCTCTGGCCCATGTCAGAGACTGAGGACTTTAATGGCTACTGACTCCTGCAGGTATTTAGATAAGTGTTGTGGGTTGCTGCCTCAGGAAACCAGACCCATTTTTGCTCCTTGCATGCAATTGCTGGGAATATCACCTGGATTTGTTCTGCTCTGGAGACAGATAACAGTAATGACTGGCTGCCGTGGACGTATCTGCACAGCAGTGGCCTGTTGTGGTCCAGTCCTGCACACACGGGTGCAAATGCACCCAGCAAGAAAAGCAAGGATTTCTCCTCGTTGATATCTAAACATCAGTTACATAAACACAGGATTAACTCAAAGGAAAAGCAAGCCATTCTGTTATGAGCTCTACAGGAGACAATGGTCAACTCAGAATGTGAACTGCACTTTCCCACTGGGACTCTTCTAATTAATTTGTATGGTGCCTCATGGGTATACGATTTGGAAGAAACATCCTCAACCCATGTCTGTATAGCTTCTCAGTAATGCTATGCCTGTGACTGTTGCCCTGAAGTGCAAGGACTGGTGCAGAGTATTTTCTGGGTGAGCTGTTGTGGTTGCGTGTTCATAACAGAGGGTCTGACTGCATCTCTCACACTTTCAAGTCTCAGTGTTTGCACAACCTCTAACAGAAAAAGAGACTGTTTTGCTTTTGAAAACTAACTAATAAGTTGCTCCTCATAGCTCTGGCAGTTAAAGCCTACTTCTAAGACCCAGACAGTTGATGGACCTACAAAAAAAGCACTAATACTCTCCATTTGTGTCTATACTACTAAGTTAAGTTGTGCCTGGAAAGAGTCCTGAGCCTTGGTAAGAGTCCTGAGTCCTGGAAAGAGGTATTATCCCTACTTTTAAGCTGCTGGAGTGGCCCTATTATGGCACAGTTTGGGCCTGTGCCAGCTAGAGTGTCCCCCAGGCACGGTTTGGGAGTCGGAGGGTGTCCAGGGGCAGGTGGTCCACACACAGCCCCCAAACACCAAGATACCCTGCCAGCCCAGGCACTCCAGTCACTGAGTAACAGGGCTCAGACCCAAGCACATTTCATGTACTAACACACATGCAGCCTCAACTCCCAGAAGAAAAATCTGGTTTGAAACTGTCAGAAAATATAAAAAAGAGCAGATGTGCTTAGTACTTGATCATGAAAAAAAAAAAAAAGTTTAAACCCAACACTTTGCAAAGCAGAAAAGAAAAAGGTCTCTTGAAATGCTACTGGGTGTGTTTTATACAGGAAAATGTAAAATTATTTTTACCTTGATTTCAAATGGAATTTTATTTTACCTTTTTTTTTTTTTAGAGTTTTCAGATTAAAGTGCATTCTTGCTTTCACTTTCTTTGTTCCTGTCTGCTCTGATTTTCTCTACTGGAAAAAAGAGAAGCAGGGAAGTGGAGGATAAAAAAAGGGGAGCTCTTTGGGGTTCTGCTCTCACTTGTTTTTCTTCTGTTCACAAGACAGTAAAGAAGAATAAAACATTTCTCCTGCCAAAAAAAGAAACAGCCACAAAATCTACATAGCTGTTCAAAAGAAGATGGGAAATAAGAAAAGAGAAATAGACAGAGGGCTTGGGCAGAGAGAGGTAAGGCACTGGAAGCAAGGTTGCATGTAACGGTTGACTGGAGATGAAATCCATCTGGAGCTGACCAGCTGCTTTGAGTGTTTGCTCAAGCTGTACCAACATGATTTGAACAATGAGTCTTCTGCTGGTCTAGGTCCAACCTCAATTCTTTAGCTCAGTCTGCACACTCTGGACGTCTGCATCTTTAACAAAAAATAATCATTAAGGTGAAAAGAAGAGTTTAATTGGGCATATGGCAATCTCAAATGGAAAGGATGGAGACAGAGCCCTCTTTCTGTGGCAAAGAATTTTGTTTAGTTTCCTATCTGGGGAAAAGAGACAAGTGCTGTACAGCATATACAAAAGGGGAAATAGTGTGATATTGGCCAATAAAACAGTCAGAAAAGAAAATCCAGAAAGCCAGGAAAGGATGGACACCAGTGATTAATATTAATCAAATCAATTAAGATCCATTGAATCAGCAAAGTCACATGTTTGATATTTTATTGCATTTGCAAACTGAATCCTGGCACGACTAGGAGTGATTCTGCCTATATACAGACACTTTTCTAGAGACATCTGAAGTACTACACACAGTCTAGGGCCAGATCCTCTCTATTTCCATTTCTTACAGGAGAAGATGCAATGTAATATGTCAGTTCCAGAATTAGGTCCACTAATAGAACTCCAGCTCACATTTATCTTGATTATGCACTCATTTAATTTGATATTGTATTAATCTGGAAAATTCAAAGGTAATTCACTTTGAAAAAAAAAAAGTTGAATAACTGTAAAGTTCCTCAGCTCTTTGCAAAGCCTAAAATAGAGTCCATTTCTCCAATTGCAACTCCATCTCTGTATTTAGCCAAGCAGTATTGCCATGCAAACACTTGCACAGTGGCATTAAGAGCCATTGGCTTGAAGAAAAGCAATAGAGACAATGCAAAGCTGAGACATTGCTAAGCATTTTGCCATTTGTGGCTGGTCATACTTACACGAAGATTACTTGTGCTCTGCTCCAGTTATTCAACTGGAATCACTAAGACTGAAACCCTGGTCACTATGTGGTCTGGGTCCTGAGAGAATAGAAGATTTTATACTACACTGCATTTTGTAAACAGCAATTTGTTGCACACAAGAAAGAGCTTGAATATTACTTATCTTGATGTAGATTTCAAAGTGTCAAAAAGCCAGGGCTAATTAAGGTTCAATAACAGATTCAGTAATTTGAAGCCCTTTTTTTTTTTTCTCTTTTATTATAGAGAAGAAAAGCAATGGCTGTTATGTCCTAATTTGTAAACACTTTATTTGATGGTTGAGACTGGAAAGTATGTTAGTGTTGTTTGTCCTGTCAAAGGCTTTGGAATGGTCTGAAGTCTACAGAGCTACATCTGTTGTTATTTACTGGCGGGGGGGGGAGGGGGGGGCGGGGGCTATTTCTAACACAGTTTATAAAAGGAAGAAAAACTTAAACACTGCAATTAGAATTTAATAAGGGGGACTTCTTTCTTCTAACAGAAATTAACTAAGCCTTTCTTTGAACTTCCAAAAAGAATATGTATCTTGTAACACTCAAACCCAAAATGTTCTTCAGTTTTCCATCTTGCTTGTGGATGCAAATTCTTGTGGATGCTCAAGTTCAGAAGTGGACTAACAGTGGGAGACCTAAGCTCAGCAACCACATTTCTGTCCTTTTCACGATCTTACACCATGGAGGTGCCTGAACATCTTCCCAGGAGCACCCATCACTGCAGTGAGCTGCTTCCCCCATCTGCTCCTCGCAGGACAGAACCCAAACCCAACACCCAGCTTCTTTCTGTTGCAATTTTAAGCATAGAGCTGGAAAAGCAGTCTGCCCCTCACCCCCCAGTCACCAGCAATCCACAATTATTAACGTGGTTTTACTCTCACGACACCTCAGTGAGGAAGGAAAATTTCATACCTGTTGTACTGGAAACTGAGCCAAGGACTGAAAACAGGTTTGCTGAATACCATCTTAATACCCTGCCCTGTCTGCTATTTGTCAGCTTTGACGGCATACCTGCTGCTGTGCCAAAGCCCAGCCTGAAGAAAAGCCCTCTCTTTCCATCTTCCTTCCCTGCAGGACAGACACAAAAAAAGGGCAACCCACCATCTGTGCTTTTGAGTGCTCCACAGGTCTGGCAGGAAGAGCGGGATTTTAGCATGCAGTTAAATAAGACACAGCCTTCTTGCAAAAAAAAAAAAAAAAGTGTTGGAAATTACTCCATTCCTAAGGGACGGACTTAGAGGTAGAAACAAAGCACAAAGTAGGTAATGAAGAGACCGTCAAGACTGGCACCAGCAGCAGAGCCCAAGAGTTATACGGGATGCGTGGAGAAGAGCTTTACACCCACTATTTAAAGAAAGCACACCCTTAGAATAAAAGTGATGATTTAACAGTCACAGCCATAGACATGGAACATATATTAAGCAATTATGTGGAAACACAACATGAAGAGACTCAGGGATAAAGAAAACAGAAGTAGAGGGGAATCCCAAATCTTAGCCTCCTCCCAAGCGGAAAAAATGGGCTATATAGGAAAGAGAATATCAGCTTGGAGAAGTGAAATACAAATAATGAAAACATGTCTCTTCAGTGTCTCTGTGTTAGCTTTATGATATTTGGGAGGAAAATTCCTTTGTGAAATCCCTGCTCTGTTGAGAGCCATGGAGCTCTGCTTTCATCCCGTCTTTGTGACACTCCCCAAATGTGGAACATTGCAGACAAATTTTTAAATATTCTGAGGTAAAATTCACGCAGGTCACATACTTGTTGGCTGTAAAACCAGTAGGGATCCAGCCTCCTGGTCAAATCTAAAAGCCAGTATTTATAGCAATACCAGTACAAGACCAATTCATTTTTCCCTTTTTAAAAAGAAAATGAAAAAAATAATATAAAAAAAAAAGGTTAACTAAAACCTGAAAAAAATATGCTGTGGTGGTGTTTTGTGGGAGCCCTCATGCAGATCTCCTGTGACTCTTCCCCCTTCTGCAATCTGAATTCCCTTATTATGCTGCATTTCCCATGCTCCACAGACTTTGCACTTGTAGAGAGGAAAAGGAAATCCCCTCTGGTCCATCATATAAGAGGTAGTTCTTCCTTTTATTTTTACCTTTCTTAGAACTAATTCAGAATATAATGACAAA